AAAAAAAATTTTTTTTCCTATAGCTACTTGGATTTACTAACCATCTTAACGAATCGCGATATTTAAAGACAATGATGCCGCCACCGTTAACATTTCGCTAGTTATTCAAATTTCATATCAATTTATGTAATGAATATCTAATAAACCCTATCGATAGAGTTACCGCACGATACGACTCTATGTATGATATATAATATATATGCCCATTCCAAGGTGACGTACGTTACGTCACAGATTTTTCGCAGAGGCGCATACCGACAGCAGACGATCGTATAGCAAATGTCTTATCGGTCTACTCATCACCAAATAGCTTTGACAGTTGTTGCAAAACTGTCCTTTCCAAATCTGGATTCAGGATGGTCTTGCTAAAGTTTTTCACAATGGTCTGTGAGAGCTCCCGAATATCACCTTTCCTTCTTTTACTGGAATCAGATTAACGCCGCCAAATGATTCCTTAATAATTTAATGCAATTACTAAAATGTAGCAACAGATAACAGATGGAGGGAAATGTCGTAGTTATGTGCTTAGTATGTTACTGAAGGATGTATAATATTCCACTTCCTTCTATTCACAATCCATAACATCGTTAAAAATAAGTAATAGTGTTTACTAGGCAACATTTTCCAGTTCTTGTATGCTGTCACGCAGATGTTTGTTATCTTTCAAATGTTGTCTGTACGCGGCAACTGTTAGACAGAATCCCATAGGAACCAGAAACTGCAATAATAATATTTTTTCGTCAATTAATACGTATATAATTGTACGCGGTAGTTAATGACCAATTGCATGCCTATTCCACTGCACACTTAACACGACCATAGACGATAATATGAGGCAGAAACCACAAGTACATGGGCAAATCAAATAAATGATTATTTCCCATGTGTATGCATTTACCTACATTTATTTGTCTGTTTGCTGAGCAACCTATGTTACATATACCCGTTACATCACGCATTTTATATCCTATCTGAACTATTAACAATAGATGGCTATATCGCTATATATGGCTATATATGGCTATATATATAGCTATATATATGGCTATATATGGCTATATATGGCTATATATATGGCTATATCGGTCGTTTATCTCTGCGGACCATTCTACAATATTTTTACGTATTAGTATTAGCGAGGTTTTGAGGCTCTGAGTAAAGATTTGTGTCTGCTTCTTCACAAAAGTTGCAATAGCGAACCGATTGAGAAACGCTTCGATTGTAACACCTCGTAAGCGTGAAGACGCTAGAAAAACCTTCCTATTATACCTTGCCATCTAGCTGAGACAGTAGAGCCAGCTGCATACCCTTGCCACCAACCAGCTGAGATGAGGTACATGCAGGTTTGGTGAATTCCAGGGTCATATCACAACCGTGATATAAGTTGATCTCTTGAAAATGTCAAAGACACCTTCCTCATACGCAATTTCCACAATATTATTCGTACATAAGCAAATATGCTTTACTTGGGTATGCATTGAATCACGCAACACAACTAACAGGAGTTAGCAATTTATTAGCAAATGGCAGTGAGTCTAATGAGAAAGGTATTCTTAGAACATCCATGCATGCAATAGGACCAGTATACACCTCATTACCACATGTAAAACGAACGCGCGATTGTGAAATACTGATATCTGAAGAGTGGTTTATTTATGTTGCAGTAGCGAAACCTGGTTCGTTAAATTCTGTCACGTGCCATGAAGCCAGAGGTACCTATTTTATTAAGCAACGAATATGCGCAACGGCACATCATCTAGAAGGTGATCTATGTAGAGCGAAATGTATCCGGTGTCTGGTTGGGAGTACACGCAATTAACGACGTTGACTTCTGTGTATCTTCGGATACTGGGCGGCATGTGCGTGCGCGCGCGGGTGTGTGTGCGCGTGTGTGCGTGGTGCGTGCGAGCGCGGGTGTGTGTGTGCGTGCGTGCGTGCGTGCGTGCGTGTGTGCGATCTGAGTGAGGAGGGGCTTATTACGCCAAACAACAAGCGAGCACAAGCCTCATAAATGTGGACCAAGTGCCTGATTGTTAGAACTAACAAATAGTAAAATATAGTACCCAACAGGTGCAAAATATTGCGTGTTTATAATAGCGAGCAACAAAACTATCGTTATGCTTAGTTACTACAAGGGTCTCATACCTGCCCTAGACCATTAAAATTGGAAATAAACACATCGGAGGTGAGTGGAGTCATAGCCTGTGGCATCATTTCTCTGTAGATGAAATGCAAAAAAAATTATGTAAACTATAGGCGGAGATGGAGAATTGGAAGAAAAACTAATAAAAATAGAAAATGTCAAAGTTGATATACTTGTAGCTTACCCGGTGTTGGCATTTGTAAACATTTCGTTGTCAATTAACAACGGCCCATCACACTCATGTATGAGCTCAAACTCTGACTCGATATTAAGGGACGTGATTGGTCGAGCCTGAAGCAGGTATATCCGGCCATCTTTCACTGCAAACTCGATGTCTCGAGCATCGGAGAACGACTTCTCAACCTATGTGAACAAATTTACATTAGAATATTACAGAGAGACTGCATCAAATACGTTATTGTTCCATAGGCACATATTTAAGTAATAACGTTTTAATCGACGGTACCGGTTTTCATGGTTTACAAGTAATTCATCGTGCATCTGTTATATGCGCTTGCCGTAACAAATAATTGCTGTCAATTACTTGTATCCCAACGTATCCCACGTCTAGTGCAGTGTTGTCTGTTATGCAGCAATTAGTCATGCTATGTGTCTCCAGCTCCATCAATCCTCCTCTCTCTAAAATATGATAAGCAATTCCACTATTATTATAGTCTGGGGCTTTCTAATTGTCAGCTAATCCCAAGTTCATATCAATAATTATGCGTATTTTCTACACGTTAACTACAATTTCTATCCGTTCAATATAATTTACCGGTGACAACCGTCTTTATCTTCTTGCTTCCCAGAATCTTTCTCTTGACCACGAGCTTATCAATGAAACTTCTTTGCAGATAGATAGTGTCAGGTTCCGTCACTCCCGACACAACTGCCTGTGTACAAAGCTTATATTGGTATATATAGTCGTTTTAGAGTATACCACCACACTAGAGGGATAAATTGTTGAATGCGCAGTATTACGACACATTTGGTCAGTTTATTTCACTCCTCTCCCCATCTCGCAAGAAATGCATAATCGCACTCACCTCTCCAATCCCGTATGATACGTTGATGGTCATGATTCCAGGGTTACCAGTCACCGGATCTCTTGTAAAGAGCACATCGGCAACGTCTGCCTCTACCATCTCTTGTATGCAGACGCCGACATCTGCGGCTACAATTTGGCCGTAATTCCTGTAAAAGAAATGTAAATGCTGT